ATGAGTTAACAAACTAAGGGTCTGTTTGGGTCGGTTGCAGTTTATTAAAGTGTTGTGCATGGCAGAAAGTTATTGCAATGAAGCTGCTGCAGAGAAGTTATATGTATGTTTATTTTTTACAGTTTTGAAACAACTGTATTACAGTTACAGTTGTTTCTGAACAAATGACATTTTTTTTCTTTATATTATAGTATTTTTAATAACAAAATTATTTACACTACCATATTTCATATTTAAAAAGTAAATATTTAGCTTGAATGTTATAAAATAAAAATAAATATCTCACAAAAGAGTAGCACGACAATCAAAATTAAAAAAAATGTTAAAATAATAATTATTAATATGATAATATTGTTTATAAAATGTAATTGGTTTATTTTACGAGCTAATTCGTCTCCAAGAAAACTCGTCACGCTCAATAACTATCGATGGTGGATTCGTCCAACTCATCTGTTTATTCAAAGAAGTTATTTTTTGTTATTCTTCTTAGACACATGTAAAACTATCTTCTTAGACACATATAACACTCTCCTGTAGCTAAGTAGTTGTCGCGAAGTAAGCATGAAATAATGTTGTCCATAGTAACAATACAATCTCTAGATGTACCAGAAGCTCTGGATGTACCAGAAGGTTTAAAACAACACAACAAAAAACCTTAAAGGCAATATTAGTTAAAATTAATAATAGAAGTAATTAATTCAAGTTTTATGAGACTGTTAGGCTTCATAAAACATAGTATAAACCCATGAATTTGTCATTACAAGAAGACAATATACCTTCTAAAAAAAAGGGTTCTTGGTTGCCTTGAAACTACGTAATACCGAGTTCGTATGTGTCACATATGTATCACAAAAAAAGTCATCCAAAAGAACCTCAAAAGTCATAAGACTAAAAAAGTAGAGAAACTTAGTAGCATTCATTTAGATTTCACTTGTCAAGAATCAATAACAACATACAGACCATTCAGAAGATCCCTTAAGGTCGGATATCTCATAATAGATATCCAAAACCAAAAAATAAAACATGTAATACTTTGATTACATAATATATCCTCGAATATCTCATCAGTCATCCAAATGAGAAAGAATACAAGCATAAAAACTAAGAATAAAATTGAGATTAAAAATATACATCATTTGTAAAAAAAACAACAATATAACAAATAATAACTGCTTTCAAAACACATTACAAATGAAATAACAATATAAAACAAACAATCACTTCATTCAGCTTCCAGCTATGACATCTGTAATTCACTCATATAACTCTATCATCTCCCACACACATTCCCCATCCTAGGTGCAAGTCTCAGGCAAGTAACTTTCAATCTGTGATAAAGATTGTATGACACGATATTTATATGCTTCAACGGAAACATGCAGACGATGTTCATCAGCTTTGTTGAATTCAATGTCGCTGCGTGAAGGATACCGTTGAATATAATTGTAGAGATTTATTGTGGCAATTACAATTTGCCCTTGTTTATGAAATGGATATGTCGACATATCCAGCAATATGACACATTTTTTCATCCAAACTCAAAATGTTCTTTCAACGACACTGCATAAGAACGAATGTCTTTTGTTAAACATCTCTTTCTTACCCTGAGTGAAATTGCTTGATCTTTCAAAATAAGGAATGTAACATTTAGTATTCAGAAATTCCAACATCGAAAAAATAGTATTTATCTAACATAAATAAAATAATTAGTATTGCAGTGAAAAAATATCTAACTAGGGTTTAGGATGGAATAAACTTTGGGTTGGGTGAGAAGATCTATATCTCTGAGCACTTGTAATAAATTTGAATAAGCTATTGTCGTGTGCATTGTCTTCTCAACCAACCATAACAGAAGTGAAACACATGTTAAATTCATATTCCTCCATTACATTTTGTGCAATTTCGATGGAATTTCTCTCAAATGTTTGGTCATTTGATTTGATAATTTTTTATGATAAACTAACAAGAGCATTCAACCCAACCGAAAATATCTACTGATTGTTTCATATTAGTGTTGAAAGCGCTCCATGACTCCTCTCATAGATTCATTCTATGATAAAATGTAGAGGTTTATCATGAACAACCTCTCTGGAAATCATCCTAGAGGAGTCTTGAAGTCCATGATTTCTGTGTAGCTCTTCCAAGAGATAGATGAATTCGGGCTTCTGTCACCCGAAACATATTAGGTGCCATACAGGCAACTCTCTAACCCACTTATCACCAATGTATGAAGACGTCATGCAAGGAGAGCGAAATATGTATGAGTTATATTACTCATACATCTAACACACCGCAGCTACAATTCTTCAGCGTCTCTCTCTATTTGCTTTTATATTATTCATTGTCTATGCAGTTGGCACTCATAAGAATCACTGAATTGGCTACTATCAGAACACTTTTAAAACAAACATCAATCACAAATAAGCTTGAAGAAGCAAATAACAAACTGTACGATAAAAAACAAATATCTAAAACAGCATTAACTGCGTCTCAATAAAAAAAATAAATATAAATTATCCAACTAGAAAAAATAAATTCAGGCGTCTTTGCTGTCATGAAAATAACGTAGACAATAAACCATATGGTAAGAGGTCATTGTCATAAAGAACTCTCTCCGGGTAGGGTCTTCAAACAACTTCATAGAATACAAATACAATGACATGTCATCGTAAATCCTTGGAGTTGCCTCCAGAATTCACATAACTTTCTGAATGAAAGTTGCTTGTGAAGTGTCAGGATCATTAGTTCATGATGCAACTAACTGTGAAATTTAGTTTCTAATTAAAACATCACTTTTGTTTTATTTTTCTCAACCCTCGGATGCTTTGATCGATTGATGAATTCAACTACATCGAGGTTCGGGCTAGGGCTTTCATTAGAGTTAGCTTTTTGTTCGACATTCAAGTTCTCAATTATGTCAACAAACCCTTGCTCATTAGGGACCCATGCATGATTATCGGTTGTCACGACTCCACCAAACCTATGAACCAACTTCCCTTCTAGCCCAGGCTCGATGTCATTGAATTTAATTTTTTTTGGCATTTGACACCGCTTACAAAGTAATGCGAGATGGATATGTTGATGGATATTATGCTTTTGTATTGTTATTGGGGTCTAACTTAGTATTAATTCGTAATTTTCTTAAAACATAATTTTTTTTACACTAATAAGAAATAAAATGAGGTTAATTGCTTAATATATATATATATATATATATAGTAAAAGAAGCCAAAAGCTCCTAGTTATATATATATATATATTTCAGGTTGTAGGGTTATAGTAAATTAGACCGCTAATAGCATAAAATTAGTTTTAGAAGACAGCATAATAATTGAGTGGATAATATTAAATAAAAAATGCTGAAGTTATTTTAAGATAAATTCATTAGCATAAAAAGAACTAGGAATATTTACAAAAATACCAATGGTTTTTTTTTTCCCTATT